TACATAGAATTAAATAAGAAAATATAAAGAAGTACATAATGAAAATTTGAGAAAATAATGAAAATAAGAACTACAGTGATCACTTTATCTTGACATTTTTCAAAACGAATAATAAGCCTAGAGGAATTTTGATTGTTAGAGAAGTAAGTGAAATAATTCTTCAAGTTTATATAATAAAAATAAGATTTTCTTAAGTTGTTCCTAAATTCATAGAAAAAGGTAACATTTAAAAAACAAGAGAATTTTAAAAAATTTTGTCTTTTTAAAGCTGTACATCTTTGTTTGATCTTTCAAACATGAAAAAACAACTAATTATTTTTATGATATCACACTAAAGAAATATCGTACTTTTTCCGCTAACGACGAAGAAATTTTACTAAAACATAAATTGAACGAAAATAGATGAAAAGAATAATGAAACATAAAATATTCTATGTAAGCGCCGAGTCTTATCACAAATAAACATGCAGTGTTGATTACTAAACAAAAAATAATTAAACAGAAATTCTTCAGTTTATAACTATCTAGCCTTTTCAGTAAGGGATGGAAAAACCTGAAATTATTTGTCTATAGTATTATCTATAAATCTTCATATTTTTAAATTGTAATCGATTTATAACAAGAGTTGCTAGTTCGTTTTGTTTCATTGCATTCTAGTCTTAATATGGAAACCTGTATTTTAATACAGAACTTTTTATTCAAGTTTAGAGTATCAAATTTGAACGAATCTCTATTAACATGTTGACAACAAATTTTCAATCGAACTGACAACTTCACAGTTTTAAATGAAAAGTTTTTCTTTTCTTAAAATCATCACTCACTACAATCATATGAATGATTCAGTCTATTTTTGTATATCTAAGTACACCAATTTGTTGTTAAATATTCATCGAAAAAACGAACATGAATATTGCATTGAGCACTTGCGTCATTGCCCATGAGTGTATCTGTAGTGAAACATTCATATAAATATTGTTCATAGTATACAAACAGCATTCGTATACACAAAATAGTTTGAGTACTCATGGGACGAGTATTTTCACTAGGATTGCTACAAAGATAATGAGATGGTATGCTCAAATTGGAGAAAAAAAGCTTGTGGCATGCAGAGTAAAACTGAAGTCTAGAGAACTTCGTTAAATTGCAATGCATTACAAGTAAAATTAAATGTAAAAGTTTTACAATGATTATGAGCAAATTTTCCGAAATTTGAAAAATAAGAATTTCAAACTTTTCTGAATTTAGAAAATTATTGAACTTAGTTAAAGAATTTTTAAATTTACCTTTTATGTTCGCAAATAAGCAGATACGATACGAACTTGATCGACGACCCGTCGTAAACGTTCTTCCGATAGTCAAATACTATGAGGCATAGTTTCTAGTAGGATTAGATCAACGTTCAATCCGAATTTTATACAATCATCTCTGAAGATATTCAAAAAAAGGATTTGTCCAAATCTAATATTAAGATTGTTCAATTATTGAACAACATCAATCCAACTCAAGGTAAATATTTCCAAGAATCCAATATGAAACTATTTGGATACTAATAACTCATGTTGTTCATGTACAGAAGAAATTATTTGGCATATATATAGTCTCTAAAAGATATAAGCACTATCATATGATCTTTAATCAGTCCAAGAACCTATTTGCAGAAAAGAACGATATATTATAAAGCGAGAAAAGCGATCAAGAATTTTGTTCGAAAAACGATAAAGAAATTGATTTCAGTATCTATGCTAAATTGTGTCCGTGAAAAAGCACTGTCTAGAAAAAGGATCGTCTCATATATCATTCATAAAACCTTTGCCTTTGATAGTTAGCATGAAAGCTATCAAGGTCACAAATTCAGATAGAATTCAAATTTGTGAAAAGTTCATGTATTTTTTAGGTTGACATGCTATCTCAAAGTTTCAACTTCGACAACATTCTCTCTGACTCTATAAGAGAACACTTCCTTTAATTCATTGTCTTTTCTTATTTAAACCTTTGCAAAACAAATACAGTGGTCTGATGCAAACTTCTATATGGTGCTCTCGTTGCGCTTTTTTCTCTCTCTCTGTTAACAAATCCAAAAATGAAGGGTATGCGTAAGATTTCGCATCAGTCACATGCATACCCAAGCCATCATATCTTCAAATAGTCATCGATCCTTTCAATTTTAGATAAAACACGCCTATATCTTTACTAACGTAAGACATTATATTGAGTTTCGAAAATAATCTGATCGATTTGTTGAATGCATTCGACTTATTCGTTAATATTGAAGTATGTGATTGTTAGGTTCAAAAGAGCTCATTACGACAGAAGTGCAAGATACACTACTTTAAGAGATATATTTGTTGTTTTCTGGTAATTTTATCCTAAAGAAAAGTAGGAGAGATTCCTAATAGTAAATAAACATATTAAAAAAATTTTAAAGTTAATTTAAATGCACTTTTTATTTATGCATTGATGTTGTAATTACATCCGAAATGTCTATCAAAGTTATTGAGCTTCAGTTATATTCGAAAATATATTTACAATACCTATGTATAGGGAACTGCAGATCGCCATTGTTTTTGACGCGTACTCTTCTCGGTTTTATCGTCAACATATGGCACTCTTTTGAATATACGAACAAGTGAAAGATTAAACTTTTAACTATATGTTGGCTATCTCTCAGAAATATTGTTGTTCACTCGATGCTTAACAAATTATAAGTTTTTGCGTAGTTGAAAATAGCATTATGTTAACAAAAAGAAAAGTTAATTGATAAATAAAATTTGTCATAGCAACAGTAAAACCAAAATCTACTATTGTATGAAATAGCTCTAATTATGTTTGACTGTACTAAATCAGAAATATTTATAGTGTTCTATAAGTTTCATTCAATCTGTAGATGTTATAGGAAAATAGTGTACTTATAACACCAAAATGTGTTAAAATACTTAGCAATAGACTGAAGTCTTTAAAATTATGTTTGAGAAGTAGCAGAAGAGCCTGATTTCTTTATTCAACAAGAAGGCTAGTCCAGATTTGAGTTCATTGTACTGTTAATTACTAGTTCAATTTGATAAAAGGCTTCCAATAAATCCGATTTTATTGATATTCCATCAAGTTTATTACTCGTTCTTATTGTGCGCAACCTAGTTGATGGGTCTATTTCAGATGAATGTCAAAAATTTACAATAATTAATAATGTTGATAACTGTCGTATCAGGCGATTTATGCAAGTGAAAATGAGTTTTATTAAGAAATTTTTGTTTTCCCATTGTCTTCGCATTTTTTTATTATCCATGAATCATATGTTAGATTTATACATTGCGATTTCCTTTTATTTCATAAATTTTAATTAAAATGCTTTGCCATCATTGCTAGCTATCACAAGCATCGTATAAGCAATATGTGTTCTGATGTGTAAAAATATAATAAAACATGATGATGACTATGTTAGATATTCCTCTGTGAAATCATAGAGCATGAAGAAAAAAAAAAAAAGATTTTTGTTTAGCATTTATTACGGACACAAGAAAATAATTGGTCATAGTTGTGTAAATATGGACCTGCGTGTATTTGAAGAGTAGAGCGATATTCATATCGAAACAGAAAAAGAAAACGGTTAACAGTATTAGAAAATTGAATAGACATTCTGTATAATCGATATAATCATTATTTTATTGCGACTGAAAGGCTGCTGCTTTCGCGATAGTCTTCGAAAATCTCTTTTGTCACTGTGTTAAATTATCACAGTTAGATTGAATCCAACAGATCACTACGATTTTGACTGTTAAACTCGGAGACTTGCAAACTCATATAGGGTTACAGCCTTTCAACAAATAGCATATGAATAACATCTCTTTCTAATATAAGAACTACTTTCTTACCACATCGCTGGAAGATTAAGTAAAAGGATGATGAAGAAATGTGTCAGGAAATAGTTGGAATAAAGTAATCTTCCCATGATTATCAATTTAAGTTTATCTAATGGGTTTTTCTTTTCTTAACAAGAAAATATTCAGAAGTTTCCACTTCTGTGCTCAACATTTTACTTCCGAACAAAATAGGACGAATCATGGGACCGATAAAATCTGAAGCTGTAAAAGTCATATTGCATCTCACATTTTCCTGCTCTAAAACCTTGTATTCATAGATTTTTTTACGAAAAAAAAGAAATAAATTTACGAATATAAAATATAAAATGTTTAAGTATTTGTAAGAGACATGAATACTTAAATCTTTTGCCAGTGAGAAGGCCTACTTGAGTTAAGTACGTACCCAAAATATTAGATTTTTCTATGCTTGTCTAAAAAAAACCAAGGATGTACTTTCTCAATTTTAAACATTAATTTAAGATATTTTTGTAGAACGAGAAATTTAATCAACTTTGATGCAAGTCACGTGAAAAAATATTTTAACTTTTTATGACAAATTCAATATGGCTAAAAATCCAAATGTTAGGTAACTGTGGTGATTCATAACTTGTAATTGAAACAAGAGAGAGGACTACAATTTTTGATAGTGCTATATTTTACAAAGATGTATGTTCATTAAAACTTTCAGACATCTTGTTTCCGACATGTGGTCTTCTCTTAAGAAATTGGATAGTTTGACGACTGAATTTCAAAAGCTGAAACACACATATAAGGTATACAACTTCATGGTAAGAGTGTGACTTTGCATGAGCGAAGAGAAGATTCATAGACTGCACTAACACTCGAAAATATATCCTAGCTATTTTTCTTAGACAAGCATATAACAACCTAATGTTGTGGGTATGTACCTAACTTGAGTAGGCCTCTTCACTGGAAAAAAAAATATGAATGTTTCTGAGTGTTCGGGTCTTTTACAAATACTTGAAATGTTTCTTGCCACTTGAAGACTACAAAGAAATGGCTAGAATTTTACTAGTTAAATAAAAAATTATCTATCACCTTACAACTTCAATATATAATTTATTTTTTATAAACAACGTGTATTACAGTCGATTTTTATTAACAATTGCATTCAATATAAGTTTACGACTGAAATTTAATAGCAAGCGCAATAGCAGTAATTGAAGTTGAAAGTGCAAGTAAAACACCAATAGTAATAAAAATTATACGATTTCGATTTAAATTAAATAGTCTAAAATTAAACATGAAAGAAAGTTAATCCCATTGCAATTAACCATTATATTTACTGTTTTTTTGATTCTGGTACTGATGTTATTTCAATAGTACTCCTTGGTGTGTCAAGAATATCTGGTGTTACTGTACTCTGCATACTGCTTATTCGATTGAATTTAGACTAGGATATATAATTGATTTATTGTAAAATAACGAATTTTCTATAAATAAATAAACTAACCCGTATGAAATGATGTTCACTTTTTTCGACATGATGAACTGTATGAATGCTTACACGTTTGACTTCATTTGGGTAAGTATCTGATGAGATTTTTGACGTTTGCATATGTTATTTTTCAATAAAATAATGCACGTTTAATATTTGATTGAAATAAAAAGAGACAACGACTTTTATTCAAATAAAAAATAATATGAATTTTTCTCACATGATAAAAAACACAGAAAAGAAACAAATAAAGAATCATATAAATTTTTATAGGTTTTCCTTTTTTATGTATATTTTTAATTGAATGTAAAAATACTTTTCAATTTATTTTATATAATACACATGACATTGGATTTAAAAACTAAACTAAAATCAATCTAAGATAGATAAGGTTTAAGTACATTGAAAACTAATTGTCCTAATCGATCATAACCTTTTGGTGTTAAATGTACTCCATCATCCCAAATCTCTCGACGTTCAACAGAAGAAAGTGAATGTTGTGGTAAAAGTCGATCAACATCAAGAATTACAATATTATTATTATCATAGTTATCTTTTGATACTAATTCTTCTCGTAATAATCGATTAAATTCTTGTCGTTCTTTATCAAATGGTAATTCTCGCGGATACATTGTTTCAGGTAAAGTCATACTAAGTACTCGAGCTCCATGTTTATGACATTCATTAATTAATAATTTATAACCATCGAAGATTCGAGAAGCTTTTTGTTGATCACGTATTGTATCATTTGTACCAGCTAAAATCAGTACCCAGTTATATTTATTTGTTGCTACTGATAATAATCGTTTAAGTCTTGGTAACATTGTGTCACTTAAAACTGCTTCACCACTTAAACCTGCATTATCAACATCAACTGTCGTAAATAATGGGCGTAAAAGTTGAGAAAGGCGAATAGTATATGGATGAAATAGACAACCATCTGAATAGAAACCTTCAGTAAGTGATGCACCGAAAGCCAAAATACGAAGATGATGTGTGGAAGCCATGAAAATTAATAATAACAAGAATATATTTATTTATCTTTTATTTGATGACTAATCGAGTATATATATTACATGATGATGTTATGTTCATTGTATAAAAATGATTCTCCAATCATTTTTTTATCATGCGCGAATCATACCCCATCTACTTACTTACACTATTGAAAGTTACTATATATTGTCAATATTTGTTCTTTGATGAAAAGATGTTAATAATAGAATATTAAAGTCAATTTGACAAAGAAAAATATTATAATCTATAGATAAAATCAATTTTATTGCTATATATTTAAATTTTTATAGAGAATCTTGTTCTTGAAGTTAACTCATTTATAAATATTGAAGAAGACTAACATTTCTTGACATCATATAAGATATATATTAATTTTGATCTACGAAATCATAAGCTTTGAGAGATGTTGCTAAATTGTTCTTTTTGAGGCTTTAATAAATAATAATTCTATTCTATTTTACATATAAATCATAAAAAAATTCGTTGGAAGCTTTTTTTTTCAAGAGTTCGAATAATCAAAATTCAACTTTAGTCTTTTTATTCTTTATAATTAAAATTATGTTGTATTAGAGAGATTGCCTTATTGTTTATCTAAAGTCAACAAATAGAAAATAATAGTGTAGTGTTGCTTTCTCTCCGCCTCTGATTCTCTTGCAATTCTTCACGAATTAATTCAAATACCAAAAACTATAATTAATATTTACCAATGGAAGAATGCGTCAAAACATTCTTTCCAACAACAATAATGACGTGCCCAACATGATTAAATACTACAGAGATTTTTTTTTCATTGTGATATCTACAATCTTGAACAAAAAGTAATTGTTGCCCAGGAAGTGCTAGTATTCTTTATGAGATTATGCTAATATATTAGTTGCATGCATAAGATAATAAATCATAATCACAAGCAACAACTTGCTTGTCTTTATCAATCTATTTTTTCGTAAAGTATTGATTCACACACGATCTTCTTCTTGTGATTAGCTTATTTCAATCATATTGTCATGAATATTTTCATCGAACTCTTCATTCAAAAGACCCATGTTGTATAGTTATCTCAAGTTTGAATTTCGTTAAAAATCATTTTAAAATAACTGAACTATTTTCTTGTCGTTGAGAATGTATGTTCAAGAACAAATACTGATATTTTAATACGACTAGAATCGACTCATTTGGAAATTTTTGGTAGAGAATTCCGATAAAACGACAAGTCTGTTCTGAAAGTTTGATAGTCATTGCATTAAACAAAGTCAAGCGTACGCTACGTTCTAGGTTCACTATTTCTGGGTGTGCTAATCACTATGATATTGACTATGTGTCATAGACTTTAGTAAAACTAAAGACGACATGTGAAGCTGCATTAAGTTCTAGAAAAAGAAACCATAGTAACTGGTGGAATACTAGAATGACAAACAAAATTTTTTTTTGTGTGCGTTTTTCTGTTGAATATGTTTTTTCACTAGGAAAAAGCCGATGTGTCAATCATAACTACAGTACATATGAAACAATAGAAAGTGAGTTGACGCTTGAGATTAGGGTTTATTATTGTATGCATGTATTGAAAATATCTGCTAAATATTATAAAAAACAGTAGTATTTCATGAGGAGTGTCTGCTTTGAGCCAGAATTGTATATTCTCGTTATGAGAAAAGCGATCATTTTGAAATCTTTATCATAGATAGAGAACAGTTGGATCTATTATTAATGAAAATTTCATTCATTTTTCTTTAGATGCAATTGAAATATTCAAAACATACAAGTAACACAGAGCAAACATTGCTAAGCCGGCTATTGAATTGGGAATTATATGATAGAAATAAAATGATCAATTACAAAGTTTCGAGTTTCATCCATCTATCTTTATTTCACATTTGTCTATATTTTCATATCACCTCAAAGTTCTTTTCGAGTTAGATAAAACTTGAGTTTGAATGTCTTCAGCAAAATCCTTGAAGATTATTTCTCTAAACATTCATCCTCATGTACTCTATACGTGTACTTTCTTTCAATTTGTAATGAACCATATGTATATATATATTTACATTCTTTTGTTCTGCATAACGAACATACGAACGTTCGGATCTTATTAGTGCTCAGCATGTTAACCTCTTTCCAGCACATAGAGAAAAATACTAAGCCTTACAGGATTTTATTCTTTCGTAGAAAATTACAATTTCAATCAAAAGCAAGAATAAAATCAATATCAACTATATATTTGTTATCATCATCGAATTCTACATCAAATGATGTATTTTTTAATCGAATTCCAAGAAAAAGATTGTCTAGAGCAAAATCAATATCGAACTTTTGAGAAACTAAATAGTTCATTTTGTTTAGAATTCAATAGTAAATCTCAATATTTTATGAACAAAAATATCATGACTTTCGGATACGAATAAAACTCGGTAACAAAGTATATATACAAAATGGATAGGCAATGTAAATAAAACTACATTCAAAATGGGTATATTCGAAAGTGTAGAGAATTTAGTCACTTAAATTTGAATTCACACTCATATTCACTTAACAACTTCTACAATAAGTAATTCAATCGGTTCTTGATGTGAAATCAAATTCTGTCTCTAATTCTTCTGACTTTGAACTTATTGATGTTCATATAAATCAACAATAATAGCTTTCATCATAATTAAAAATAGAAGGCAGTGGTTTTGCAATATGATCGGTATATCAGAAAGATTAATATTCTATGTATAAAGTTACTTTATCAGTGGCTTTTCTCGAATCACAATGGGAAGTAAAGGAATCACAGAATCATTTTTTATCTCTCTATAATCTGTAAGATCAACTTGGTCCAGAAAATACTGAGTTTTGTAGATTAGGTTTTAATACGACTTTTATTGAAATTATTGCAATGTCCATGAGAAGAAACGTTCAGTTTTTGCGGGTTAATTTAATTATCAGAACGAATCATTTTATTGAATCACATTTTCATTCAGTCTCAATACAAATCGAAATTAAAATAAAGAATGCTAGCTATCGCTCTTTCTACAAATCAAGAAAGAAGTGCTGCCCATAACCATATTTTGATTTTGTTGGTGGCATTTTCATGCGTTCTTGATCTTCTGCCGGTATAATATCTCCCGGTTTGAAAATAAATGGTTTTGGAAGAATTTCCGTGAAATGCTTTTTGTCTTGTGTATGTTGTAAAAGGTTTAAATCTTCGAATGAAAAGCGGTAAATATCACCTTTCACGAAACCATGTTTTTCATAGAATGCACAGGCTTTACTCATGCTGGTTGCTGTTGTCAAATGTACTTGCCGATAGCCATGTTGTCGAGCAAAGTCTAATAAAGTTTTTAATAGACGCGAACCGATATTATATCTTTGAGCATCAGGAGCCACACTCATTCTTCGCAACTCACAGATTTGATCTCTCTCTTCCAACGGCACAAGCTGATAATACATCGGATCTCCGAGACGTAGAGGTTGGATTGCTACTTGGCCGACAATACGATTGTCATCTGTTGATACAGCAACCCACCAGTGACCATTCGGAACTTGAAGATAATTCTTCTCAATATCTGCCATATCTGTTTCAAAGGCATGAGTGAAGTACTCCATAGGATTATCATACTCTTTATGACCGTCTAATAACAAATTTTGGGATTCAGATAAATCCGATGATTGATAACTACGAATAATAATCGATGGAGTAGTAGATGTACTCATCTAGAATACAACAATGTTATCACTGAAATCAACATTTAATTAGGTGTCATCTTTCGTTCCCAACATCTCTTCACGTTCCTTGATTCTACAAAGAAATTTTCTGTTAAAATGGTCGACATTGGGCATCATGTGAATATTCTTTTTCTTCTCATCCACATCCATGTTAACTTTGATGTTATCCAATGCTTCATTATGTCGAGAATTACTAGTAAAGAAAAGAAAACTGAATGCCATGTGAATGATAAAAATAATTATGATAATGCTCAAGATTAGAAAACAACATTTCTCAAATACGCTTTGAAAAAAAATGATAGTTGATGAAAATTTAATGTTCAGTTGAAAGAAGAAGCAGTGTGATCTATAATTTTTCAGTAAAGAAAAAAAAGAGCTATGAAAAATTTTAAAGAATGAAGTTGACTCCTTCAAACAGGGTCAGTACAGTTCAAAAGAATTAGATGAAAAGATCGAAACAGGTTAACGCCAGGACAGATATGAACAAGATCGAAGATCGTACTGACAAACATAGGAGAACGACGCAAAAAAGAACAACAATGAGTATGTAATTGAAGTGAAAGCGAAAAAAAAGCAAATATCAACTAAGACCAAGTCAGGCAATACAATGACTGATATTGAGCTAACCTTGATGCACACTCTTATAAGATATTTGTCTCGTTATTGATGTAATCTTCGACTGAAGCTATTCGAGTAGATGGAGCGATAGAAACCATTCGAAACTATCACACTGTTGCACCACAATGTGTTTTTTTGTCATTTTGAGTAAACAGAACGCAAAGATGCAGTGGTATTAAATGATAAGGAGAATCATCGTGTTTGTTTCGTCAGTGTTGCCTACAGTTTCTCCTGCGTTAGACATGACAATATAAATATCAATGAATAGAACGAAACAGTGGAGAAAAAAAAGTTATAAGATCATTTGTTTGAGTTTTATCACTGCTTGTCAAGCTTATGCTATGATTGGTTGACTTTTTTTTTCTTAACGAATAATAACGACAGATGGCAGAACTGCTCATTAAATCCAATATATATTTTGAGACAAAATGATCAAATTACTAAATAACACCCACACCCACACCCTCGAAATTCTATTCGGATTCTGTACTTTCCACATAAAGTATCTAACTTATCGTTTCTAGTGGTGAGCAAATCAAAGTGGATGTAATAGAATCCTAAATTGTTGATGGTCAGTAACATTTAGTGAAATTCGTTTGAGATCCTAGTAGATCAGTAGATACTGAGTTTTCCTATAGCAAAATTATGTATGTTTCCTGGTTTTTAATCATTATCTTTAAGCACTGGCAAAGTTCAACATTGCTGTGGACAGTCATCATTTGAAACTTGATCATAAATTCTTTCTAATGTGTTTTTCTTGAAAACCTAACGTAAAATGCAAAAATTTCTTACAAAGAGAAATGTGAGGCTTCACCACAAATGACTAGTTTTCAAAAGAAACCAGCGAGTTTCGCCCTTCGAGATGTCATATGACTCATGCAGTGTGAGTGTTGGTGAATGTGAGTTTGAGTCTGACTCTGAGTGTAAGTGAGAATGAAAGGAAGATCTATATTGCTCCTACCATACACACGACATGCACCAACTCACTTAATCAAGCTAACGTACCTACACTCACATCAAGGTGTGAGTGTGTAAATGAACGGCAGATCCATACCCAAACTTCACACCTCCATCCATACCCTAGTGAGATAGGTGAAAAGAACATTCATTTGTGTTCATATCACTAAAAATAAAAATTAAAAATAGACTCTTGATCAATATCTATAGAAAATAGTTTGATTTATCACGGAAATACAATATGAATTAAATGTAAGAATATCTTATGTACATGACATCAACATTATAATGCATTAGAAGAAGATACATTTACCTAACTCAAATATTAATTTTGTATTTCTACAGAACTTATTTATTAGACATCTCGTGTTATTCTCTTTTTTATTGTAAACTTCCTCGAAGTACCAGAGATATTTTATTTTTCTTTTAGTAACTTATTAACAAATCTAAATAGGCAAGAAAACAAAATCTGTCGTGATATTCTTCTAGAATTCTATGCTCTTTCCTATGGTAAAGGGTCATATCTGCGTGACGTATGTATATCAATCGTATTTTTTGCCCTGCCTCCTCACAGTCTGAATGGATCCAGTTTTATTAATAACCCGTTCTTCTCCTGGATGTCTAGTAGAGCTTTTTTGGCGCCAAAACAAGAATCTGAACTCGATTGAACTGTACTTTGATGTTGTGAATGAAATTCTCTAAGTACATTTCGAGAATCATCCAGAACACAATAGTAATGAATAAACACACATTTCATAAACAACAAACAAAAATATAGCATATTGAAAAGTTTTTATTTTTTAAATACGCTTGATTCTAATGAACAGAAAAGAAAGCAACGCGCGAAGTTCAATGCCAATGACACTCGACAATCTTGTATAACTACTCTATATATTAGCGATCTGCTCATGTAACATTGTCTTGAATTAGTTCAACGCTATATTCATATTCAACTGATTAATTCGATTGATTTTTCTATTTAAAAATGGAGTTTAAAAAAAAAGCTAACCTTAATAGTTTTGCAGAAACTTGTGTGAGAAAACAGAACAATAGTCCTAATAAGTGTCTGGACATCCTCTTTATGGGTGAGCTCTAAGCAATTCTTACACATAAATCAATATCTTTTACTTTAAAATAAATTTTGAAGAGAGTAAACATTAGACAAGAAATGAGTTCATTTGATCACCATTTACTATCGTAATTTCTCGAGTGAACAAGAGAGAAAATTTTCATTAATATACCCAATACCATTAGATTTACATAATGTTGTTTTTTTTTCTATTTTTCAGACCATGATAAGGTTGTACAAATAAAAAAAACCCTCATCAAATTCGTTTGTTGTGTTATTTAAGACAAAAAATATTATGAATAAGCCAAAAAAATTCATATTGTTTTTTGTTCATTTACATTTACATTTAATCTTTTTCTTGCCTTTTTATTGGTATGCATCTCTTTTTTTTCTTTTTTCTTATAAAAAAAAAAAAAGGAAAATAAGAAAAAGAAAAAGTAAATGATTAATGCAAGAAAATAAAAGAAGCAAAAACATACGTTGAGCAACAGCACGTTGACATAACAACTTTCTATTTTACATATTCTTTCATGCGTTTTTTTCTTTTCTGTTTACTTCATCTCAGTAATTGTTGTATTTTTTAACTGTGAATGGTGTGATGACTAGACGACATATATTATACACGATTTTCTTATTTGAAATTATTTTAATACATGTATCAAATCAAACAATATATAGTTGTTCATCAACGAGTTTATGTGGATGTTCGGCTAATTCAGCTATTTTAACAAAAATTGTTGGAGGAGAAACAGCCTCAAGTCAAACATGGGGATGGGCTGCATCTCTTCGTTATGCATCTAGTGGTTCACATTTTTGTGGCGGTTCAATTATAACTGATTCACATATTCTGACTGCTGCTCATTGTACTGTAAAATTATCATCTCCTGCTTCAATTCTTGTCTATGTCGGATCAATATATCTATCTGCAAAAGTTCAAGTACGTGGTGTTTCAAAAATATATGTTCATCCAAATTATTCGTCAGTTAATTATGTCAATGATATTTCTATACTTAAATTGTCATCTACA